TTTTTGTCCCTTTTCCCACTTACAGTTTTTATGTTGTTTCTTATTGGGGGTGGTAGGAGGAATCGCCGCAACAAGCAGCGACACACTAGCGCCACTGCGTTCGCTTTTACGTCATGCCTTCCAGAGTTTCCAACCAGCGGCACAGCATCTTTCGGACCCCCATCCACGGAGTCGAGAGCAATCAGCCGAGGCCAGCTGTTTTGTCAGCTTATTCATCCTGCTTCTCTAAATTATAGGCTGTCCACTACACCACCTCCAGCTCTGCCCAGCGACCGCGAACAAGAAACGACGCGAAGGACGCTGAACGTGTATACGTAGTATGTGTCCAAGCCATCGTGGTTAGTGCAGTGAGACAAGCACCTCGAGCGAGCGGCTGCCATGAGACTGGACCTTACCGTGGTGCGATGGTTTGTGTGCCTCAAAGATCGATTGAGCTATACTGGGTGGTGGTTTTTTTCGCACCTTCAGAGTCACTCATACCAGATTGGTCAATAGTTAAAGGCCAGACAAACTCAGCCTCCTAGTCCTCCAGGTTGGGGGTTGGAATGGGGGTGGCTCCTCATTTCATAAAACGGGCTCTGTAGTCCAGTGCCAAAATCCGCTACCTTGCGGTAAGGTTTTTGAACCAAAGACTTTGGTTGAGAACCTTAATCGTTCTCCTGTCTAGGCCTGGGTAACCGCTACAAACTGTAGCACTGATTCGGTAAAAGATGATTTCTATCAGCAACTTCACGAGCTCCTTCGTTACAGAAGAAGCACGGATACTGTGGTGTTGGCTGGCGATCTAAACGCCCAAGTCGGAAAATTGTCCTCTGATGAGCTTCATCTGGGCGGCCAACATGGTGTAGGCTCCCGTAATGATAATGGTGAGCGATTGCTACAGCTGTGTGAAGATGCTCGCCTCTTTCTCGCGAGCACTAATTTTCGACACAGCACCCGCAGAAGCGTGACTTGGCGGCCACTAGCCTCGGGCCAGCCATTTTCGCAAATCGATCATATCGCGATCAGTTACCGCTGGAGAGGCTGTGTCCAAAACTGTCGGTCGATTTGGAGCACGAGTGTGGACTCTGACCACGCACTTGTCTGTGCCGAACTCGTGGTGCGTTTCGGTGGACGTCCGCAACGTCGATGTGAACGGATTGACACCAGCCACCTGTCGAAGCCAGATGTTCTGAATGTGTACCAAAGTGCGCTGATATCGGGGCTGAGTAAGCGCCCACTAAACACCGTTGAAGATCACTGGTCGCATATTCGTCAAGCTTTGCTGTTAGCAGGCATGTCTTCATGTGGCAAAGCAAATTGCCAAACCGGACACTGGGTCTCTACACAGTCTATGGAACTTATGGATGCTCGTCGACGTATTCCGGTTGGAAGCGAATACAGTGAGGTTCGCAAAAATCTCAGGGCAAAACTACGTGCTAGCCTGAAGAAGGACCGCGAAACCTGGTGGTCTCATCGTGCCTCTGAGATGGAAACCGCCGCTGCCGTTGGTAATCATCGTAAGTTATTCCCTAGGATACGGGAAACAGGCAGCAGGGGACCTGATGTTAACGAGACCATACGCGACGAGAGTGGGCAGCCGATCCACAGCCTGTGGAAACGCTTGGAGCGTTGGGCTTAACACTTTGCAAGTCAATTTAACCAACCTGAGTTATCGCGTTTTTCTTCAGGCATTGAGCGCCCTTCTTCTTGGGCCATCTCCTTGGATCCGCCCTCACGCACAGAAGTCGAACGTGAGATCAGGCTGTTGAAATTGCATAAGGCCGCAGGGGCAGATAGAATTCCCCCAGCCCTCTTCAAATTCGGAGGACCTGCTCTAGTATATGATTTACACGAGTTGCTAATAAAACTTTGGGAGCAGGAGACAGTCCCGACAGACTGGAACCGCTCCGTCATTGTCCCAATTTTCAATGGAAACTCCCGTTTGGAATGCGGCAATCATAGAGGGATCAGTCTGATTTCGATTGCCTCTAAATTGCTTGCGTGTGTCATCCTGCGCAGACTGACTGGCGCTCGTGAAAGCCAGATTCGTGAAGAGCAAGCCGGATTTCGTCGATGTCGGGGCTGCATTGACCACATCTTCACCTTGCGTCAAGTGCTGGAGCACCGCCATGTTTATTGGCGGCCCACCGTTGTTGTTTCTTGACATAAAAGGTGCCTTCGACTCAGTCGATCGATGTGCCCTTTGGGACTGTCTGCTGAGGAAAGGTGTGCCTGATAAATATGTGAACATTATCAAAGCGCTGTACGCGCATAGTTCGGGCAGGGTGAGAGTTTATGGCAAACTGTCGCCACCCTTCAGTATCACCAGCGGTGTGAGACAAGGATGCGCGTTGTCACCTTTCCTCTTAAACTTCGCTATTGATGAAGTCATGGAAACAGCGTTCGCTGGACACGACCTAGAAGGTGTGGAGCCACTTCCTGGTGAGCGACTTCTTGACTTGGAGTATGCGTACGATATTGCCCTAATCTGTGACAGCTCCCAAACATGTCAAATAGCACTGGACCGGTTAGCACTGTCTGTCAATCATTTTGGGCTATGCTTTGCTCCATCGAAATGCAAAGTACTTCTCCAAGATTGTCAGGGACCCAACCCTGCGCTAACGCTTGATGGTGATCTGCTAGAAGTCGTTCAGGAATTCAAGTACCTTGGCAGCTATATTAGCACCCGTAGGATTGAAGATGAGGTTACGAACCGTATAGCAAAAGCTCGAGGTGCTTTTGCCAATCTCCGCCACCTGTGGCGCAGATGCGACATTACTCTCGCCCTGAAGGGCAGAGTTTACAACGCAGCCGTCCGTTCAACTCTCCTATATGGCTGTGAAACCTGGCCCATCAGGTCGACAGACATGAAGAGGCTCTTCATATTCGATCATCACTGCCTTCGCAGCTTAGCTCATGTCTGGTGGAGCACCACGTGAGCAATGAGCGTGTTCGACGTCGCGTATTTGGTGCAGGAAGAGCGAGTGAACCGCTCAGCACGATTATATCACGCACCAGGCTCCAATGGCTGGGCCACGTGTTGCGCATGCCAGCACACCGAATTCCACGACGTGCATTGTTTGCGCGTTGTGGGTGCGGTTGAAAGAGGAGGAGAGGAGGCCAAGCGATGACTTGGTCGAGAGAAATGAAAACCCTCACTTCGAAGTTGGCGTCGGTTGGTGCATCCCGACTGCCTAAGGACAGTGAACACGTTTGGTTGGACACACTTGCTGATATGGCTTGGAGCCGGCCCCAATGGCGTTTGTGTTGTGAGTTCCTTTGTCCATCCCCTCCTGTTTAGCATCTCCTCCAATCACGATCTCACTTGTTAGGCATAATATGACTCTCTTTTACGGCATCCAGCTGTTAGCTCTCCGGAACCATGTCCATCCGTTACTGGGGACGCAGCCGGCGTGCCACTGTTTGTTTTCCTTTTCTTTTCTTTTGTTTTGCGGCGTAATAGCTGAGGTGTTTTCCACCTCCAGCTAACGTGTAATGATGATGATGATGAGCGGCTGCCTCCATCCAAAACACGCTGTCTGACTTCAGCCTTGGTTACGTGGTTCAGCCACCACACACGGGCGATGAACCGAAATCAACGGTTCTCGAAGAGAGATAGTCGGCGCAGGTCATCGGTACGATCAGACCAAATCTCGCAACAGTACAACGCGGACAGTCGCGTTCTAAACCCGCCCTTTGATGGAGAGATAGATGTAATGGGGGCGCCTTAAATGCATCAGCCTGGCGAAGACGAGACGAGCTCTTGAGATGTGCATAGAAATATTGTCTTCAACAGCCCCACCAGCAGTAACGCAGCTTCTCAAGTAGACAAAACTGTACAACTTCCAGCGTCTCACCATCGATGGTGAGGGAAGTTTGGGGCGTCTGTCAGCCTTGAAAATGCACTGCTCTTGGATGGTGAAAAGTTCCTGTCATACTTCGACTCTTCAGTCGGCAGGCGGTTAAGTGCAAGTTGCACGGTCTGAGGACCGTCACCCAACAAGACGAAACCATCAGCATAAAGCTTGTTTGTAAGCCTCTGCGTGATAAACTTCAAAGCATGTTGTTGCCAATTCAAGAGGACGATAGTTTGCTTGAGAGCCGTTGCGACAGCACTATGTTCATCACCCTTGACAATATCTTGTGTTCAAATATGAATTAATCTAGGTGCTGCTATCTACTCCCGACTTCGGATTAAATATACTACTTCTTCCTACTTTTCTGAGCACGACGAGTGACAAATTACGCCGCAGGTCAGATGGTCAACCTCTGACATCTCGTGAAAACCATGCTGTCTCTACAAAAGTAGTACCTTCCTAAACTTCTCAGCTGTCGTATTCTTGAATACTCTAGCACCATTACTAGCAACACGCGGCTGAGATTAAAGCTTTCAGAGAACTATGATCAATGTTTAACGGACCTTCTAACCTGAATTACAGGGTGTTGGTGGAAATTTATCTCTAACCGCTTTGGTTGTGGCACCGAAAACTGGACTATGTAGTCCTGCGCAATCTGAAACACCAGAAGGCGTTGTCTGATCTGTCTACCTCAAAACTTCGACAAAATTTCATTCGGAGGCTTTGTGATACAAGTTGCACGGTAATTGTACGAAGGACCAAGACAGTTCTTCATCCTAATTATTTCCTCATCAAATCAGTTATCCTGTGGAATGCTTTACCAGCCCAAATCAGCTCCCATATGACCGCGAGAACATTCTGAGGTAAACTTAAATGCTTCCTCTTTTTGAACTCACCAACCAGCATGATTTCATTGAGACTATCACCTAACGAATACCTTCTGAAAGAACCGAAAAATGCATAGCTTTTACTTACAGAAAAAATCTATTACCAGTCGAAACTGTAGATCCTAATGCATTGAGAACTCAACGTGTTAAAACTGTATTTAATGATGTGCCTCCAATACAGGAGCAGCAGTCTTTCATTCCCCGTAACTACTGGCATTAGTATGATTACATTTTTGTTGTCGTTTCCATGGTATGCCTTTTATCCTTTTTATAGGATGCTGTTGAGGGTGTTCTGTCCAGGTCTCGATCTCGTTTGGATGGCCTAAATTTTGCACACAGTGGTTTCCAGATTCCCGCCGAACCTGGCCCACCTTCATTCACAGTGCTTGCAATTGTCAATCCAGCGTCCAGAGACACCCAACGCCTCTCTCACGTTTTGATTGTGCTGCATCAGGCCATCTCCTGTTCATTCAAAGTATTGCTGAACCCGACCCCCTCGCTGTCGGAATTACCGGTGAAAAAGTTAGTGCTTCCCTATCTTTCTATCGATCGTCCTCTTCATATGTTTTGGTTATCTCACAGGTTTGTACAGGTCTTGTTCATTTTAGGTGGTCTTTACCATTTTGCGCCAACCTTGTGCTTGCAACTTTGCTCTGTGCTCTGCTTCCATGATCCACCCCACGTAGTAACACTGACCCAACTGTACTAAACCGGCGATCGATACTTGACAGTGACATCTAATACCTCCTCACTGGAGCCTGGGTACTCCTTTCCTTTGTGGTTACCTTCTTGAAACGCGGTTTCACACAACCGCAGGACACTTGGCCAACCAGTTGCGAGGAATCCGACTTGCAGATAACCTGTGCCCTCTAACCTCTTTCTCTTTCGCAGACTCTTTGGTGATGAGAAATAGGTAACATTTCGAAATGATTTGGAATATTGGTATCACGGGAGGCTTGCTCAGTTGTTGTGAAGTTCTCCGAGCTGGGCAACTTGATTGCAAACGTTTCGCCACCATTCGAGGTGGCATCTTCAGTGCGGGATTGATAGCAGTTAAGTAGCAGTAGCTGATAGAAAGCAAACCCAATAATCGATCCATTATTGGGGGGGGGGGGACATTTTCTGGACCGAATCTTCCCAACGTGACCGATGATGACGAGACTAGACTCTAACGTGATGCTATAGGTTTCATCAGTCGATTACCCAGTGAATTACGCTGCGTGGCGCATTCCAAACGCTATCTGCGTCTCCGATACTAAACAAGTTAATGGTCATAAATCAGACCAACTCAGTTTCAACATCCTCTCCGGGAATTGTGGCTAACTTGCTAGCCCGTGTGATGTGACAGTCTGCGGTTTATAAGATCAGTTCGACTTGCATTGGAAATGAGCGTCACGCGCTTTCTGAACTTAACTGGGAACATTGTCTATCATTTTTTCACCAGCACTGCGGTTGTAGTGAGGCACAACGTAGGCATCCACTTGCGATAAAAGCGTAAAAAGAAGAAAACATGCATGCACGTCACTCAAGTAAGTGTTCATGCATGGTACCGATTATTTTTTCTGGAGTCCACAAGAAAATGGGATAAATACGGTAATAAAGAGTTGTGAAAACGAGTTGTGCGTGTAAACCTAACCTTAAATTTCAAGCAGGTAGACGAACAGGTGGGGACTTTAAATAAATTAGCGTGAAGAGGGCGAAAAGAGTCAGTTAAAATTTTTGCTGAAAAGTTGTCACATGCACTAAAGTGCTTGGTCACGATGAACTGAACCAGATATTGTGTGGACAACCCACTACACTTGGAAATGAGCTTACCACACAATCAATCTGAAGTCTTTTCGTAGAAAACCGGGAGAAACGATAAGCGAGCAACATAACCATTGGGGAAAATATATGCGGTCACGAAGTTGTAAATTCAGGAGCAAAGCATTTTGAGTCTGAGGGCAAAGTATGATACTTTCCGCACTTTGTGGACCGTTTCATCAACATGTGTTAACCAAGATAGATTGTATGATAGATATACACCTAGGTGCTTAACAGTGAATGAACTGGGTATAATGTGTTCGCATACGAATATGGGAGGAGAAGTGTTTGTCACAGTCAGACGTTTGTCAGTGCGGAAAAAGTGGAAAGTTACATCGCGGCATCTGGAGGTGTCGAGCTTAAGGGATCGGGATGATGACCACCGCTGAAGCTCGTTTAGACCGATTTGCAGAGCCGTTGATGATTCAACACGTATTTCTCAGGATCCAACGGTGTTTGTTCATTGTTGCACCAGGTTGAGCGAAAGCACGAGGGGTCCATTGGATGACTTGGTATAAAGGCATGCAAAAATTGACGGATATTTTGTTTGGCTGGTACGTGTCGTCTTCTTGCATGGGGACGACCTGATGATCCGCATCAGACGTTAGAGATTACACCGAATATGACACAGTGACGCTGTTGCGCTCGGTTTCTTGCATCCCGATTAGTTTTACGCGGTTTCCTTTTTGTCCGCTTTTTTGTATTCTGTTTGTGTTGTACCCCATCATCTCACGATTGTTATTTGTTGTTATGCTGACGGCACGAGTCTTATCATTTGGATATTGGCTGTATAACTGAAGTGGACTGTTTTCCAAATCTCTGTGTTGCCACTCAATCTAGCATATCTTAAACATCCTTTCTTGACTGTCCAGCAGCACACATGGACTAGATACCAAGTGCATTTGAACCGTTGTCTGTATCTCTGCAAGCCATTTACTGGCATCTGAATCTTGGGCACGACTACGTCCTATTACTTGTTTGCGCAACTCATGGCGGTGCTTTTTTACTACTCAAACTGCTAAAGAAAGATGTCTATTGATGCTTAGTTTGCGTTTAATCGAACTGTGGAAGAATGCTCGTTGATCCTGAATTCCGAGCTAAGAGTTCCACTTTCATTACCCGCTCGATTGTCTAGAATTTGCTTCTTGTATATTATCTTCAAAACATCATTACTCCTTTTATCAAACTCTCACTATCCGTGCAAGCGTACTGTCCACCCAGGGCAAAATACAAACTGGTAGACTTCTGTCTATCGCCTATATGATTGTGCGGTTGGCACGTTGCCGTAAATCCGGTGCAACAGCATTTTCCACCACTAGTGGTGTCTCTAGTTACACCAATAGGAATCGTCTTTCTCGAATGGTATTCTGCATGGTTACCGACTTACAGGTTTGAGTTTTGGGGACCGCGGCAACTTGGGCCATCACGATCTGTGAACATGGCAAGCTTTCCTTCCAAGTGGTTCTCACCGCTGTACAACATAACTACACGTTTTGACATGCGGCGGTTTGAGGAGATTTCAACAGCGAAGTTCTGTGCCGACGCATACTGCTGGTTCCTTATTTTATTTTTCGCGGATCACAGTTTTTTTACTTTTTATGTGATGCGCTCTCATTACGTCCTTTATCAAATCCGACTGTATTGTTACAGTATGGAGCAGCTTTTGCCAACCAAGTAAGTGACCATCCCACACGTTACTCAAACTGTTCAATTTGCGAACTTTCGTTCCGACGCACTTCGCCTTCTTTTCCTGTCATCCACTTGTTTTCTCTTTGTTCTCTTCCTCTTCAGCTTTTATCGTTTTGTCTGGGAACCGTCTCCTTTTGCATTCAAATCCTCTGGGGGCGTGGAGGTCGTTTCCGAAGATCCCGTGATTCCTCACGCTTTCTTTACTCATTTGCCTGGCCAGCCGCTTCTCACATTGGGTATGGATGCCCCACACGGTTGGATGGTCGCTGCAGTGGAGGCTGTCTACGATTTGGACAATCTTCGTCTAGCTGACATTCATAGTACTGTGGAGGCTGTCTTCGAATTGGAGTATCTACTCCTCGAGGGACACTGCTTTGAGGAGGAAAGTATGAAACCTCCACGTGGCCTTCAGCTCACATTGGGCCCGTCCACTGCTTTGGATCGATATGACACTATTGTGATGGCCAATTTGGTAAGCGTTTGTTGTGTCTCTTCTGTGCGCTCCTGAACACCATACCTTAACCCCCTTGTAAATGATGTCGTCGTGCCCGTCGATTGAATTCCTATTAATGGACGGTTCATCAAAGTGTACTCGCGATCTGATGGTGTTTCAGGAAAAAGCTTATCTATGTAAAATATTACGGCAGCATACCATTATCGTAAGTACACCGGATTTGTTGCTTCGAACGGCTGACCGAACTGTTGCTATACGGAGCTCGATATCGACGACGACTGTGCCCGTCTTACACCTGATCATGGTGTCATTTTTTCTTCTGTCCGGACAACCTTAGCACATTGATACTGTTTTTGCATATTATACCATCCATCTCGCGGTAAAATAGTTATGCAGTCAAAATTGTGCGTATTCCATAACCGTTGAGCCATACACTAAACACTGGGACTCTCCTGGACGCATGTTTGCACATGTTTGCGTAACAACTATCTTTTTCCCATTGTCACGCAACCCAACCAAAGTCGGGAGGACTCTTTCGTACTTATTGGAACCATTGGTATGTGATGCAGCAGAAGTACTTTCATACTGGTTTTTGTTGACCAGCATTCTCTGTCGGAAAGTCTGGTGGGGAAATTGGTCTAGAAACTACTCAGATGCTTCCACGGCGGCCCATAGACTAAAGATAACGACTTTGTCTTGTTGTCTGACGGCGCAGGGCGACCCCCGCAGTATTCTTAGCCCAGCTGCGACCGGCGATAGTTGTGCGGCAGCAAAGCGTTGGTACTGCGTACCGACGTACTGCTGATTCCTTTCATTCTTCCTCTTTTCCATATACTTCCACTGCAGAGTATCTATTGAATAACATACTGCCGAATAGGTTCGTTCTCTTTGGATTGTAATAGAGACGTAAGCGGAGCATGTAGGCTGTCTGTTACATGCAAAGGTCATCAGCACGGACGTGGTACGGCCTTTTTTTCTTTCGGCGGAATTTGATCGGCCAGCAAATACTAGCCCGCTTCAAAGGAATCAAGCTATTCCATCAATATGGTAAACCCGTAGAGCGGAATTCACTCACACTGGCTGACAATCAGACGCAGAAGTGTGGGGGGACCTTGACCTCCAAAATGTGTGTTTCCGTTACCAATAGATAGAGTGAACCTATCCTGTAGATATGCTCACTCTGTCTACCGAGTTCTGGCCTTTTGTATTCCTTCGGTTGGCTAGGCGCGTGACTGAGAAGTCAGACGGTCACAGTCTCATAGGTGGAGTAAGCAACAGCAGTACAACAGACTGCTTGGTAGTGGGGATTGTTCACACTAGCTGCACACTAGATAATCGTCCACACGCCCGTAAAAGCAATAGACGGCCGTGGGTTTAGCACCTTCAGACCGCATGGCGTTGCTACAGAACTGCATCTAGACAACATCCTTTCCCATTGTGGTCGATCAACCGTCAGGTGTCGTTGGTCGGCTCATTTACCCGGGTACTTTTAACTTAGTTACCGATTGGGACTGCAGAATATAAGTTTGTTCAAGTCAATACAAGCTGTATGTTCCCAAGCGAGTGCATTTTCAGCATTTTGAAGTAGCTCCAGTAGACGTTTTGAAAACAGCACCATTAAAAATGCAAAATCGTATGTGGAATAAATGGCATTAGGCGTACAAAAGTCACTCGAATTAACAGTCTCGAATCTGCACCCTGTTGACGGTACGGTGTCGAAGCCCAGTTAGTCGATCAGGATGAAAATTCCACAAGTTACAAAGCACCTTTTAATACTTTCGCATATTACGCGCAGTATCTGAAAGTCTGTCTTCGCAAACATCGAAGGAGAACAACATTAGTTACTGCGGACAATGTAATGTCAAAAACATTTAGCGAAAATGTTCATCCGCGGTAGACAGAAGACGAACGATGTTCCTCTTCAAAGATAACAGCCAATGTACATCGCTGCGGCGGGAACTGTGTTATCCTGTGCCCTGATTTCTTTGCCACCACTAGCAGTAAGCATTCCGAGCTCGATCACAGTTGACTTTTGCTATCGCTCATGTCTGACGAGAACGTCGAGTTGAGTGACGCTACCATCCACCAGGTTGTGTCTAGCTACAGCGCATATGACATCTCGTTAGCTTATACCTACGCTGTTTGGGCATGCCCTTTGTACCGTAACTCGGTCAATCAGTGACATTACAGTTGGGTGTGCACAAACCGGGCGCTAAATTGGGTTTTAATGGTGCATGTCATTTCCCCAGATTTGGGTATCGGGATTATTCGGCTCAGCAGTCTTATCGTTATGCCCATAGTCGACAGTGCTACATCGGCAATTTGATCTGATGCATCGTTGCCGTAAGTTGTTGCAAGCGCGCGTGCGGGTGATGCGGAATTCGGTCATTGACCACTGTCTCACTATTAAGTACTTTCCTTATTGTGCATTAGCCAATCACAGATCATACGATCTGTGGGTAATCGCTGTGTTTTCGGGTTTAGGTGTTGCGATTACTAATAACTATTCCAAATTTTTTACTTGTTCCTATCATATTGATCGACCTCATGAGTCTTAATTCATGATTGTGGGGGACATTTTTGAAGCACCAATTCGGATGTCTGCTGTCTATATCTGATGCAAGCAACCGCGTTCGAAAGTTGTCGTGTGGTGCACCTTTTACAGTTGGGCAACATTTAGTACCCAGCACATCATCAGCTATGGTCCCGGTGATCGATTTGGCCGTGATTCAAGTAATGCAAATCGCGGTCCATTGACATTGCATGTCGCAATCCAATTACACAACGAGTGACACCAAATGACCCTGTAATCAGTCAGTAACCGCAGTGACAAGCATGGCTGTAAAGCTTAGGAGCAGGGGGTTCGCTTAGCACTTCAAAGGCCCCCCGGTTCGAGTACCTACTATATCTACGTGATGAGATCGAATAGGTTTGGAACCGGTCGTAGGATGCAGTGTTTCTAGTCAGGAATTCATTAGTAATCAGTCCCGGTTTCCGTTTTTAGCAACTGCACTCATCGTATTCATCCCACCTACCTCCACTCTTGTAAGTATCGATTGCGTTGCACAAACTCTGAGTTGTCTTAACCGCATCTCGCATACACCTTTGCCATTTCTACCATCTCTACCGCTATACACTTTGGTATGTATTCACTCGTATTCTCCAGGGTTATTTCCAACTGAAAGCTGGCCCGGGTGCTTGGTATCTAAATATCAGGTCTGGTCGTTCCAGGGACTTTTACACATTCTCTGAGTAAGTGCTTCTATTGCATAATCCAACTTTTATCATTATTGGAACCTCCACCCTTCCCATTGAATGCTCCATTAGGTTGATACCCAGTCGCTTACTCAGCGTTTGCAGGACACGCAATCGACTGATTGGCCAGTCGATGCCAATATCAACGGTGCACTCGGTAACCAACTATCATTTTCCGTCCTCACGCGATCGTTGGTCCGTAGTAATCTATCTTCCGTTACGGACGCACACACTATATCCTATTTTCTGATCTAAGCGCCAAAATCCTCCGATTCATTGGACGCTTCCCACCTCGTTCTTTCCGGAAACCGCTTCCACTGAGTTGCTTCCTGGTGATCGACTTTTTAACTTGGGGTGCACCGACTATTTTGCTCTTGCCTGTGGCAGCTCCCAAATGTACCAAGCAGAAATGGACAATTTAGCACTGGTTGTCAGTCGTTTCGGGCTGTAATTTGCACACACACCCTCCCAAATGCGAAGTCGGTCTCAAAGATTGGCAGATGGTCCACCCCTACGCTGATCACTAGTGATTATCAGCTAGAAATCTTCCAGAAATTCACCTAACTGTGCAGCTGTATCAACGCCTGTGGAACCACATTGATCATGAACCGTTTAGGAGGAACTCGAGGCGTTTGGTTGGATACGCCCTTTTACATGGCTAGGGTCGACGTCGGTGGCGCTTTTGTGGCGGTTTCCTGTGTCTCTCCCTATCTCACTTAACATCCCCTCCAACCACGATTTCATTGTATATGCTTAATTCCAAAGCAACATGATTTGATACCTTTTATTTTGTGTTTTGTCGCATATGTTATTTTTAACTTTTCGGTACAATGTACGATGTTGATGACCATCCGAAGGGCCTTGCACGAACTTTGCACTGTTGGTAACTTTCGGAATTACTCTTCAGGGTCTACGTGATGGGGCAACTGCGCTATAGGAGGCGCATTTGAACGTTGGTGTCTACAGATTACGATCTGATATCGCTTGCTTAGCTCATGGACCAAGAAGAAGTGGCATTCTTCAGGAATTTGTCGCAATCCACTGTCTCCAGTTGTCTGTAGTTCATCTCTTCTATTCTGCGTGTTACGACGGATTTGCTTTGTGATGCACTTCGTAGTTCACCGCGACGTCTGTGAAACTGGTGGTTTTCGCCTCTACGGTTCTTGTTGGGGGGTCACTTGCGCCTTCGATCTTTGGTCTCTGCATCACTGCTAAATGGTCTCTCAGTTTGGTTTGAATAAATGCATTGTTTGTCGGTGTTTACTCAATAAACGCCTGGTTGGTTTGTGACTCAGACTGCTACCGTTATAGTCAACACTGTCTCACAATCAGTCAATAACTTGCGTGCTGCTGACTCCTTGGTGGTTACTTGTCCACCTCGGCTGTCGGTGTACTCCTTTCGACTACTCAATTACTATCTGAAGTCTGCGCGATTTCGACGTCTCGTTGAAATTATACAACCATCTAACTCTACACTTTCGCATGTTCATCCGGCGAAATCTGTTGCTTACTTGAACCCTGTCCCTCTCTCTGGTGCAGTACACCCTCAATTCACCATGTGCTCTGCCGCCCCCCATCCATTAAATCTTGCCAGTCCCTTATGCCCAGAGACGTCACTAGTGGCAATAAATTCGTCTTTTGTTATGGTGCTTCGTCGCCAGACAACCGTTGATCAAGAGTGCCCATTCTTCTAATGAAAACGGATATGAGAAACTCGTCAGCGGAATGTGTGTGTTAGAAGCAATCGCGCATAATCCACACACTACAATCTTAGTACTAACACGCGGTCATAAATGACTGGTGTCCATGTGGTGACTTCGCCACCTCGCACTATGCATGGACGGGATACCAGTTTGTTGACCGCCGCATACACCATATTGGTGTTGATTGCGCAGATTGAGTCGCGTAAACTTCCGGTGCAAAATTGAGACTGACCAGCAAAGCTGTTGCTAGTCAGGGACGTCCTATCTCACCGCCTGCTTGCCTCTCGAACTTTGTACTTTCTCCTATTACGCAGACCAACAACACTCCTCGGTAAACATTGGCTGAAGATATGTCTCACGTACCTGAGCTAACGCAACTCCTCAATTCGGTGCGTTGGTTTAACGTATATATGGTTGGCGGCATCCGATTCCGCATTCGCCTGTAACTGTGACCTTCATAGGGCAGCCACAGGACGCCTGCACCTACAATGGGACCATGGGTGGCTTGCGCTGCACCACCGACACACCCCATATCCGGTGCAAACCCAAAGAAATTAGACCAGTCACCAACATAGATCCGCTGTGTTTCAATACTTCAGGCGGGATTCCGTCGGCGCCGGCACACGTCGTTTCGCAGCTGAGCAAGTAATCTCTGTGTCTCATTCAGTGTCCACGTGTCCGCCAGACTCGCCTTTACATCGTGCTGCTTAAGGCCGTTCAAAGTAGACCAATCAATCTCTGAACGGTTGCTCAAGAGACGGTCAAATTGCTTTCGCCAAATCTGCATTATGTATGAAGTCTGTTTATAGGCTGCTCCTGAACTACCATTCAGCTGCGCTCTCAACGGTGGCAACCTCCATCGGTATACCGCCTTTAGGGAGTCAAAGTATTCCTTTTATTCGTGGCGTTCGGCGTATCATTTCATATGCTTCGCCTTCTCCGTTCACCATGTATTTTTATGGGTCGATACTATCGGGTCAGTCACTGATGTCTGCCACATGTGCAGCAAATGCTGCATTCTTCTCACACACCAATGTACCAATCTTCGCATTGTTCTCATCAAACCAGTTGGGCCGCCTACAGTTTGCACGCCCGATGGTCTCCGCGGCGGCAACTCTCACCTGATCGCGAATGTGGTGCCACAGGTCGCCTACTATGGCTATGCATTCCGCATCACACAGGCGTGCAGCTATCGCCTTCTCCAGCTCAATACGTTTCGCCAGAGTACCGAGGGAAGAAATGTTAAATTTTCGCCGGTTCACTGCCGGAGTGCAATACATAGATTTACGAAAATATATGTACAGTTTGGTCCGCACCAATTTGTGATCAGTGTCACACTCAGTTCCACGCTGTGCACGTGTCTTGCGCACTTCACCCTGACATACGAGACATAGTCGAACAAGTGAGCGTGACCACTCCGTGAGTGCGTCCAAGTTGCTAAATCACCCGCACTCAGCGTAAACCGAGCATTCGTGATCGTCAGGCCGTGAGTGGCATACAATGAGAGCAGCCTGTCAATGTTCGCATTCGCTGAACCAATGCCATGCGAACCGATAACATCTGTCCACACCGATGCGTCACGCCCAACGCGCGTGTTGAAATCACCCAGCAGAAATAGTCGGTCCCTCCTCGGCACAGACCGTACCACGGAGGATAGCTGAGTGTAGAATTAATCGCGCGTGTCATCAGGATACCACATGATGGGACCGTACATGGTTCTAACGGTGGCAAACTTACCTCTTCCGAGTCGTAGGCGAACGGTCATCAGCCGTGCGTTGATGCCAGTGGGCTCGCCCACCAGCTGACCATTTAGGCGATGGGATATTGCAAAACCGACCCCATGTTCACGTGGTGCTGTGGTGGCGTTTCCCACCCAGTAGAATGTGTAGCCAGCGCCAGCTTCATGCAACTTACCTTGCTCAGCGAGGCGGGTAGTGCTAAGCGCCTCAATATGGATGTTGCGCCAGTTGCATCGCGATCAATGCAGTGCGTCGCTCGGGGCGCTCACTCGAGCTCCGGTCCAGTAGTGTGCGCGCTTTCCAGCACCGGATGTTGAGTGCTTTGCGCAGGCATACGATCGCATTTGTGAGCAATTGCATGCGCGATGATGGTGGTGCTTCGGAGGTTTTCTTGAGGGACTCCACCCCGAGTTTTTGGCTCAATAGCCTGACCCACAAGACATTGCGGAGCAGATCCAGCTCGTGAGTGAGATTGCAGAGACCCAGTGGGATCTACTTGAATTCCATCATCTACAGCCTTTGAAAATCTGGAACCATTCATATATTTTTCGACCGTAGTAAGATACGCACCTGCGACCGCAGCCAGACGCAGGTAGGTTTTGGCGGGTTTACACCAATTTGACCAGGGGCTGCCTGGCTTGAGGCGGGCAGTAGCAAACCATTGAACACCCGGAGGTGTCCTCCCACCGTCAGAGACAATGCGTGGCACTCGTGCTCTACGCCAATCGAGCTGTGAGCTTATAATCCGTAGACCTGCTGCCTCCCTTAACTCTGTTTTATGGGAAGGGGGCTATCGACCACTGTCTAACCTCCGAAGAGGATGGACTAGGCTACTGGCAGGGCGTCCACACCTGACAGGATAACGACTCGGATCCTCAGCCAGAGCCTTCGATTAAATGTACACCCGAAAGACAGCGGGTCTAGCACATGGCCAGTTCACTGACTCATGCGGATTGGTGTGTCCTGGCTCTTAGCTGGTAGAAAGGCGTAATCCAGCTCCCACCCAGAGGTCGCCACGAGGAGGTTTCCAGGACTTGAGCCCATGGCACATCGTTAGCAGGATTGGGTAAACTGTCTGTCTGGATATAGCCACCAGCGCACCAAAGGCTCATCTGCCATCTACATACATAATGACTCTCCATGATCCAGTATGTTACTGAGCAACTTGCGACATTTTTGTGCAATTGCCGACCATACATGTTTGTCTCATCATGATCATGCCTTTGCAGATGTCCCTCGCACTGCCTACAATAAAGCATTTATTTATTTATTATTCAGGTATACATTAAACTGACGTATCAAAATAAGCATTATGACAATGTAGCAGACCAAACACCTGAAATAAAGCAACTCAACGCGCAAGCACGCCATTAGTTAATCGAAGAGAGGCCCACGCGGCGTACCTACCAACGCTGCGCCAGTTCTACTTACGTTCCCAGCAGCGCCCATCGCCGTTGTGATGCTGGTCCCTAGGGGCCTGGCTCGTGGTTCACTAGGCCGGCCTGACTCAGGCCGTTGCGACCGCATGTGCTACAGTACCATGCGCTGGACCTCGATTCAGTACACTCCATCGATGCCTGTCGCTTCCACAGCTGCCGCTTCTTCTCCACATACACGATGGCTTACTCTTGCACCTCGGCAACAGCCATCGTGCTCAGATCGTGCCATGCACGCCGACCAACCGCCTCTATTTTAACAGTTGTATGTATTTTGACAGAGGGAGAACAATGAATATTTTTGTGGAATAATCTAAATTCCGTATATTTCGTGTATTCTCTTCAGCCGCTTACATACAATGGGTGAACATTTCAAACAATCTGGAATAATAGTTCAATACCAGAAATCGATAGTTAGTTGCGTTGGCTAGCCTGTCTTTCCTTACCAAGGCAAAGCAAAATTGGCCACAAACTCAAGTTGTTTACATAGGTTAGGCTTCAAACTCCGGATAGCGGAAGCCCCAGCAAAACGCAACAACTTGGGGTTGTTCTGTCTGTTGAAAATCTTGAATGCTTCCTGGGGATTCTGGCACATCGAGCAATCGAATACGGGCCGGGCAACGAAGCTGACACGCAATGTTGCACCACGGTGAGCAACGTTCTACGGGACGTGTTCTAAAACCCGAGTTGACAACTTCCTCTCTGTCTGGCCAGTGTGCATGCTACTGCAAGTACAGTTAAACTGGTAAACACATGGGACGGTGACAGTAGAGTGAGGCTTGTCCAAATTGGATTCATGTAGTAGCTTTTTGGTTCTGTGGAGCAACACAAGCTCAGCTGTATAGTAACATCCCTTTATGGCATGACGCAAGCGACAGCAAAAACTTTTATCATTTTCTTCTCCTTTATAAGGCAGTGCAATGAATACCTTCTTTGAAGCTTCAGTTCGCTCTTCGTACGGCCTGATTTTCTCCCCATGGTTGGCGGCATCCGGTTTCGGATTTGTCTGTCACTGTGGCCAGGCACAGGGCACTGCGCCTACAGAGGGACCATGGATGGCTTGCGCTGCACCACCCACAGCTCCATGCAAACACCCCATATCCAGTGTAAACCCGAAGGAATAAGACCGGGAGGCATGCGGATGGGAGCCACGTTTCATCAACGGAGCCGGCCCACACTCCTTCACGTGTAAACACAAACACTTCGTATTTGGAAACCAATCACACACAAGTCGGTGGCTTGACCGTAGTCCGCTCCTCACTGAGTAAATGGAACCACTCTTTGAGCCTAGCACGGCCACACTGACCGTGCACCCCGTCCCCTCCAGCAACGACCAACTGTCTCCTGGAGCCAGTATGGACGAGGTAGTGGGTAATAGACAGGTAGTCACCTTGTCAACATGTACATCAAGCGCAGCCACACCGGGGATATCAAGCAAAAACTGATCAATTTAAAAGACAGGGTAACACAAAATAAATTGATAATGCATAGATATGGTGATATAAATTAGCATATGAAGTAAATTGGTTAGCAACGGATCCTCGCTAAGTACAAAATGTCCACAACTTATACAATGAATGCTACAACCGCGATAAGGTTAATGAAGATAAACACAATTAGCCTAATCGACGTGTGCAAGTCAAAAGAGGATTATTCATTTAGGCAGAAAAACTCATTAAAGTGGAATGAAATTTATCCAGGCTTTATGGTCTGTGCTCCACGGCCAATAGTACAATTGGCGTAGGGCCACAATCTATGGAAACACAATAAACCAACGAAAAGAGAGCAAAAGCGTGTAAAAGTGTGTTCATGGGAGTAGTGTGTCACATGTCCACCATTGCGCCCGGTTTGAGACCGTATCCGAGTTGGTTTACAGTCATGCAAGTTCACGATTCTTGCGCTTCTATCCAGGGAGTCGAGGGCGCCCGTCCAAGGCTTATTTTGAGGTTAGCTCCTTCACACTTTTGGCGCTCGATGAGGACACCACTAGGTAAACGATGAGTAGGTATGCGAGCATGAGCCCATGCCAATGAAATATGTGCAGTGAAATTATGCTGCTCAGCGGCCATCAAAGTGTGTCTGATATGATAATCCTTCGAACATCCTCTTTAATAATGTGATGTTTCCATTCTACACCAGCAATGCTCCGAAAGCAACGGTGCTCAGAAACAGACGGCCTCTCAACATCCTTTGCACGAACGGCCAAGTCTCCCGGCTTTAGAGCAGGGGCGCTCTCGTCTTGGTATTGTAAACTTGGTCCTTCAGAGAGCCTCAGATCTCGTTTACGCCAGGTATGGCGGTGATTAGTAAAAGCTACCTGAGCTTTGGAGACGCGCAAAGAGATCTATCTCATCCGTCAAACCGTGAGTACTCAGGCAGCTTCCGAGGTAAACAAACTTGTCTACCACTTCCAACGAATGACGTGAAAAGGTAAGAATAGGAGCAACACCTAGTCAGTCCTGTGGGAAGATCTCGCACTTCGATGGAGGGATGGTACTTCCGAATTAGACAGGACATTTTGGGCGGCTTGTAAGGAGTCGCAAATTATGTGGTTAACACCTTCCAATACTAACCAGCGTTGTCGAAAAAACCAGACTCAATCCACACACTTCTCCAAGAAAATAATATGAGAACTATAATATATCCGGAACGCTGGGTCGAGCACTAAAAAGCAATTCTTCTGGCCTGGTATGTCAGATTGGTTTGATGTGTCATTTTAATCCAACCCTACGTTCCCGTGACAATTTGGATCATCATCGATAAGTTGAAGCACGATAGAGAGCAAGGCGCCTAGTTCAGTCGAACTTCCATTGCCAATACCGATGGTCAGTCTCGACTCTGTGATGATTCTGTCCATCAGTATTTACTGCAGAAGATATACTCTGTGCCTATGGCGGCTTAGCAGTTGGTTTCCCACCTTCTCAAATGATTTCATGTGACATTTACGGTACTCTGGGTTACTTTTTCCACCACACCCCGACATGTATCATGTTACGGTGCCTTGCTGATCCCCCTGAGTCACTAATCAATGAACGTCAAGCTGGTTTCTACTCCGCTATTAACAATTTTGTTGGTATTATTTATTGCGTACTTGTATTATTACTATTTCTACGGCATGAGCCAACGTAACTGGCTCCTGCACACTTCACCTCGATACTCACGTGCAGTGTTCTCACTTTGATTGCCACATACTATGCACTCACATTGCACTAAGATTTGTTGTCGCTCTCTCGGTTATTTTCTGTTACTAAAATACATGCGCAATCCATTCGGACACAAACCACACCGACACGACAAACGCCTCCTACCCCGGAGATTTAGAGTTGGTATTTTGCTAGTCTAACCAAGTGATCCTCTTCGTCAGTATTTACGCTGGTTGGGGTTCATACAACCACCCTATTCCCTCTTTCTTCTTCTCTTTGCAGTGAACAAACCGAGTCACGTCTCAACTCGCATGAGCTAATAACCAATATCGATAGTTTTCGCTCAAAGATCATCACGGTGCGGGTTAAAAAGCGTCCCGAACGCGCCGGTGAAAACCTCTTGGATGAGTCTATTTCCACATCGACAGAGACCAAAGCGGGTTCCTCAAGCTGGTCACATAAACACGGCGACGTTTGGTCCACGCTGTCAAACTACGCTGAGAATCTGTCACCCTCTTGGCTCACAAGGTGGACACTGGCACTTGCCGTTGTGGTTTACCGTAGTCTGTTACACAGTCTGCTCCCATACAACAACCATTGTTTGAACGCCTTGTTTGGCTATGCATTTATCACTACAGCGTTTCTTACTCATCCTTTTAACGAAATCTGCAGGCGGTCTTCTTGTTTGTCATATAAGTTATTTGCGTCGTGCGGTGTTGTCCAGTTGAGAAAAATTAGTGCTTTGACCTCACTGCGGCATGCATGTTTTTTCTCACTGGGCACATCTTAACAAATCGATCTTACCTTCCAACGTCTCGGTAGATACTTGGGACCGATCGAGGTGTATTTGTTGGGCCACGTTTCGCTTTTGACACAAAAGCTTCGTCCGAATGCAAATGGAGCGGCATTTTATAGCGAACAGAGTCGATACTCGCAATAGCTGAAATGGGCCTAGGTGTTATCATGCAGTCACCTGACCTGACGAAGCCTTTGTGTCGTGAGCGAAACCTTACCTAAAAACCACACTAACCGATTGTTTCCAAATCTCTCTGAACTCGCAACCTCACGTTTGTTTCTGCAGACCACATTCGCTACCTACCTGTGGACACTATCGAGGCTAACTAATGTAGATATTTGCTTTTGTAATCCAAGAGTGGTCGACGGTTCGAGTCTACGCAAGTGCTGGCTATCCGGTAGTGTATCCCGCCAGCCCACTCGCATTTATTGGTGGTCACCTAGAAGGAACGCATAGGTGTGAGGGACCTGACACACTTCATATGCCCTCTTTTCTCAATCTGGTTTGTTTCTAGGCCTGTGTTACCACTTCCTCGACGTTTTACCATTCACTCTCTGTTTGTTTCAGCCTCCGGGCATCTCTCCGTGCACACTTGCCTTGGCAAACATGCCCACCCAGACAAGAGGTTATAAATGTTTTCTCCTTGGCATCTGGTCACCTATACGAACGGCTGCTCCGGTAAGCCACTGCTCTATTGTACTCGTCTTTTCCATCTTTATCCTCAGCAACAGCATTAGGTAATATTTGTGTTTATTGCATCACATCCTCGATGTTTTGCTGTCCGTACTTTTTGGATTGCTTTCGTCAGTCGAAAGCATAATATGATAGGCCGTTAGTGAGACGCTACTAATCACGAAGGATCATGCGCACACAAAAACTATTGGGGCAAATCCTGTGGCGCTGATTGCCTTACTGAAATTTGTACATCAGCGTTCCTTTCACATGTGTACTTTCGTTTTCACTCTGTGTATATTGCGTTCGCGACTGGCCGAAGCGGTCAATCTGTCTGCATATCACGGGATTTGTCTTTCTTCTGTTTTGACGAACTGGTCAAAGGGGACACACTATTTGAATTCACTTTTCTGGAGGATGAAGAATGAGGTCTAATGGGAGGACGTTCGAAGACGCATACTTTTTTCACAAAATATGTGTAGTTTAAACATTCTGTATGTATTCGTGTCGCCGCCATCAGATCAGCATCTCGTACCGATGGTTCACAGCCATATAGGCATAATGACCTTACTAATGTGGAATATAGATGGGTGGTGCAGCGCAAGCTGCTCTTGGTCCCTCAGTACGCGCGGGCCTTCTATGGCTGTCTCCGTAGAGGCAGTAGTGGCATGCGATTCCGGAAACGAATGTCATCAAACCAATGAGGAATAATAAGAGGGAGAAGGAGAACGTAATATTAAACCTTGAAGCTCAAAGCACACATTTAGGGGTGACAGGACGATCACACGCAGCCATTGGCCGAGTGGTCTACACGTCTGGCTTGAAATCATAAGGTCACCGATTCGAATCTGCGTAGGGGCTGGCGTCCTCGCGGTATACTCAGCTCACGCGCGACTGGGGGTGATCGTGCGGCAGCGAAGCGCATACAGCTGACACATTTTTTAATTTTTTCGAGCTGACTATGGTGCGTGTAAAATGCTGCGTTCGCCAGGCAAGCTCCTTAAAGCTTTCGCTACCTTGCGTCATACTCAGTCACGCTACACCGATATCACAGCAACATTCACGCCTTAAGCTGGTAGTCCGGATAAGAATTGAAAGTGTAAATGTTTTGAAGGCGATTGTGAGCTATATTCTGCAAAGTCTCTAAGGTCAAGTTTAAGATTGATACAGTGGACCCTAACATTGCTGATGATCTATATCATGTGTCCAATTTCCCATTCAGCGGTTTCGTTTCTCGCTGTCAAATCAGCCACTGCCTCCTTTGATCTTACACGTCTACAGGTCCGTAGCACGTATCCAAACGAACGCAGTTTAGGCAATTTTAGGTGTTGACCAAATGAATTAAACCGGTTCTCATCGCGACATCAGCTAAGGTGAATTCGCGAAGTAAAACAAAACGCTGTTTGTTTTTGATTTCCGTTTATGCTCCCACCGACTGCAGTTGTAATGCAGTCAAGGACACTTTCTATCACGAACTGAACGCCCTACTCCGCAGTGCTACTAGTTCAGATATTATAGTACTTGCAGGGGATATGAACGCAAAAGTAGGGCGGCTGAGCTCTTCAGAAGCGCAGCGGGGTGGTAATCGTGGACTTAGCTCCGAACGGACTGACAACGGTGAGCGTCTGCTGCAACTGCGTGCGGAGCACCAGTTGTTTCTTACTAGCACTGCTTTTAGACACAGTGTGCGCCAAAGTACCACTTGGCGTCCTCCTGTAGCTGGCCAGCGATGGACCCAAATTGACCACATAGCGATAAGTTACAGATGGCGTGGTTCCATCCTGGATTGCCGCTTATACTTGAGTACCTGTGTCGACTCTGATCATGCCTTGGTGCGTTGTCGTTTCTTCTTGAACTTTACCGGAAGGCGCACCAAGCATCTCCTTCGATTGACGACGGAAACATTGCCTCAGCCCTCGGTCATGCAAGCCTATCAAGAAGCACTGCATAGCGAACTCTCGCTGTCTTGTCCTAATGACACTGAGCTTCAGTGGAATAGGATCTCGGACTCCATGCACGACGCAGGAGCATCTGCTTGTGGCACTGTCCATCGTCACCGCACTAGTCACTGGATATCCGAGAGGTCGGTGAACCTGTTGGAATCTAGAAGACACCTCCCGGCTGGTTCAGAACACAATGTGACCAGACGGGCTATTAGGTGTGAACTAATGCGGAGCCTACGTGCTGACAAGGAAGCCTGGTAAACCACTCGGGCTCGAGAAATGGAGGAGGCAGGAGCAGTAGGCAATTACCGCAAACTCTTCCAGCTAATCCGCACCACTGGTCCCAGAAAACCAGGCGTCAGTGGGACAATCAGAGACAGAGCGGGTGCGCTGATACACAATAAGGAGCGCCGTATGGCACATTGGGTGGAACACTTCCAAGATTCATTTCAGCGGCCCCCCTACTCCCGAACTTCTTCCTACTCAGATAGTGCAGCACGAGCCATGGACGGTTAGTTTAGAGCCCCCGTCGGAGGCCGAGGTCCGATACGCGATCACAGCCCTCAATCGTTTTCGTGCCGCTGGCCCGGATTCCCTCCCACCTGCACTATTTAAGGATGGAGGTGAGGTCCTCTGCAGGGCACTGACCTCCCTATTCGAACGTATCTGGATCGAAGAGAGTGTGCCGGCTAATTGGAGCGAATCGATTATAGTGGAAATATACAAGAAGGGCAGTCGCACAGACTTTTCTAACCACAGGGGTATTAGCCTAACGCCAGTTGTGGCAAAATTGCTGGCCTCGATTATCGTTCGTCGCCTCACTGCAGAACGGGCATCTCGGATTAGGGAAGAGCAGGAAGGTTTTCGCCCAGGACGTGGCTGTATAGACCATATATTCACTTTGCGGCAGGTGCTAGAGCAGCGCCACGCATACCGCAGACCGACAATATGTGTGGTCCTCGACTTCAAGAGTGCTTTCGATTCAGTCGATCGATCGATTTTGTTCGAATTACTTGCGCGGAAAGGTGTTCCCACGAATATGTGAACATCCTTCGTGCTCTATACTCAAATATTACAGGCCGCGTCAGAGTCTATGGTGTCCTATCCGATAGCTTTTCGACTACAAGTGGCGTTCGTCAGGGTTGTCCGATTTCCCCGTTTTTGTTCAATTTCGTCGTGGATTCTATCATGGAGTGTTCCCTTGTGGAATCCAAAGACGTAGGCGTTGAAGTGCTGCCTGGTGAAAGGTTAGTTGACCTTGATTATGCGGATGATATCGTCTTGCTATTCGACGATTTTGCGGCGGCACAATCAACCCTGAATAGCCTATCCAGAGTGGTCCCATTATTTGGCATGCAAATTGTTGCTGCAGGATCATCAGCCACTTGATGACCCCTTGACGCTTGCTAACGAGGAACTTGAGGTGGTTGATCATTTCACTTATCTTGGCAGCTGCATCAGCAATGATGGGCGCATAGAAACTGACGTGAGCTCATGCATTGCAAAAGCCAGAGCTGTCTTCTTGAACCTGCGTCATCTTTGGCGACAGAAATGAGTTTCCCTCCGTCTGAAAGACCGTGTATACAAGACCACAGTGAGGGCCGTTCTGCTCTATGGTAGTGAAACTTGATCCCTTCGGTCTGAAGATCTGAGGCGCCTTCAAGTCTTTGATCATCGTTGTCTGCGAAGCATTGCTGGTGTCGGATGGCACCAGCGTATCCCCAACGATGATGTGCGTAGGCGAGTACTAGGTAGCGAATTCGAGGGAAACTACATCAGCGACGTTACAAAAGGGTGGCTGTTTCGGTCACTACTTTATTTCTTTCAAAGCCCAAATTATCATAGCAACCAAATTCCTAGTGTGTTTTTTGGACTATTGTGTTTAATTATTTATCTACATTGTGCTGGTTAGACATGTAACATCAACAGGGACCATGAAATGTAGAGTGGAATACTGCTAAATGTTTCACAGGAATATTCTTCGTCGAATTCAGATGTTGTAGTAGTTGGGCCATCTAATGTGCCTTCTGAGCATGCAGCAACTGAGACGTGCGATGTTTCTGTACTACTTGATGTGATGCAATATAAGTGTGTGGAAACTGGATACTCTGTACGAGTGGGTAAAAGGCGGAAATACAACAACATTTATCTTCGTTTTGGATTTATGGAGTCCAATAATTGTCGGCAAGGTGACTTGTGTAACAAAGTTCTTCTGAACATGGTGCCTATTAAAATGCAGCGACATTTTGAAAATATTTATACGGACTGTAAGGACAGAAGCAAGTACTTACAGCGCATGCGAGGTGAAATATTGAACACATCGTACATGTTTCACGCGTCGCAGACTGTAAAAGGAAGCTACGGAAGCATCTTACATAGTTAGTTATTGTAATGCGCTGACGGCAGAACCGAGAAACGTATCCGGCCATGCATACAAAATCCATGGAGATGACCTAAGACTCTTCTGTTCGAAAAGCTTTTCACAGACTGTCTGTGTGATTTCTGATGCAAAGCGAACCATGTGTACCTTGTCATGGCAGACAGCTATCGCCCTGCTTCTCCCATTTGTCACAATTTAGCTGTGTGACAGTGGATTCTCCCATTATATTTATACAAAACAAAGTACCGAAACAAGCCTGAGGCGTAACGAGATACAAGGTTATAGCTTTCTTCAATAACACCTAGCATCAAACAAGTCAGCGCTGCATGTCGGAACAAATTTTATCTAAGGTATTAATCCTTAATATAGTTACATTTCCATGTAAGTTCAACAGCCTTCACTTTTGCTAACGTAAATGAACAACTGTGCAAATTCAGTGTACATCGATGAACTCCACCTCATTCTTATGTTATTAAAGCCTAGTTCTGTGGACAAGAAAAGCTCAGGGGTCCGTCATGCTAGTTACACTACAAAGGCGTGCGCTTGCCGAAAAGTTTGTTAACACCTGCTCTATAGTGACACACGGCATCCTGTTGGCTGAGGGTATCTGACCAATGAGGAAGCTACTCGACGGTGCGCGAGTGCACCTAAGCCAAACTTTGAAACGCACCAACTTGAAAATGCTTATGAACCTAGTTGAAATGGCTTACGAACCAATTTGTTTCCTCTATTAACTAACTTGACTCGGAAATGGTATGGACAGGATCATATGGTTACAGTCATTATTGAATTGACAGACATAACTCCTCCGTTATAAATAAAAAATGTGTACTTGTTCTACAATATCTGTAAAACGTGTTTACTAATACTCTGCACAGCTGCGATGGCAGGTAGGAGCAAATGCGTGTGCGTAATAAACTGTTGAAACAATGGGGCACGAGTGACAGCTGATACAGGTTGCTGTGGTGACGAACTCGTAATACGGTACTGAATCAGGTGAATCGAGTAATCAGGAAGATTTCACGGTGAAACCACCTCTGCTTGGTCGTATCTGCTCGTACTGCAGGATGACGGTACTTTGTGATTGCTAATCGCAATCTCCCAGTAAATTTCACGCCCGTGTGTCACTTACTGCCGTGTTCCGCGAAAGAGACATTTGACATATTGGCCATGGAAACAGCTTGTTGGGGACAGTATGGCGGAACCACCTCTGTTTAACTCATGAAATCGGTAATTTTTTCATCCGTGGAATGATCCTTCGGGCACCTTTGTTGAATGTTTGAGGATCATGTAAGTTCTCGATCTACAGGATGAACTTGGATAGTCAGGGTTCTTGGAGTTATGCTCACTTTACAGCTGTTGATGTCTGCAACGGTAGAGTCTTGTGAGGGTTTGATCTCTTGATCAATGTGAATGTGGGTTGGAAGCCTCCTTTAATGAATATTGGGTTATTTATGCATCCAGAGGTGTATGAGGAAGCATCCTTTGTCGTCTTCTGTTGTTTCAATCGCGCTGGAGCTTGAATTATGACGTCTTCATGTCCAGCCATCCACACTGGTATTGTGTCAGGGAGGTGGTGAGTGCAGTTTGGTCCCAGTTTGAGCCATTTTCATAATTGTGTTTGCGTTTAGGTGTATAAGCCACGGGCTATTTGAGCTTCGCAGGATAACTTTGTCCCATCTCAGGCGTAAAGATGACTCCTCAGTCCAATGTGGGATCACCCGAAAGTTCCCGATAAATCTCTTCCTGTCTGTTTCGGAATAAATGTTCTGTGAGGTAGTCGACTGACGAGCCTGAAGTTCGCGGATGACAAATCTCTCTGAGTCGAACTCATCCTCTATATTATTGTTTCTGGATAGATTTACGCTCTGACATGTCTTTTGCACTTTCAACATGCAAGGTGCTGTTGTAGGCAAGACTTCGCTAACATATATCGCCTGTCGTTATAAATGCTACTGAAGAGCCGTATTTGACTGCAGTCTCAACGTAGGGTATCTTAACCTTGCCATTTTTCCACGTAAACCTCTTGGCGCCTACGCAAATTTATATGCATATATGCGCAGTCTTTCCGGCGTACCTGTAAATCGAGGCCACTGTATCATTCCTTAAAACTACCGTGCGTCGGCTCGCTATATGAATCTGTCGCTAGCAAAAATCACAGCGATGTAAACTTTCACGCCGTCTACCTCTCTTCTCCCTCCTCAGCATCATGATGCTCACAGTTCTTCGCCACACCAAATCACCGGTGAAATTTTGGTTTCTAAAGAATTATTTATCCCCGACATTCAAGGATTTCATTCCTCACATGGCCAAAGAGTACGGATTCGACTACGAACTGGTCCAATATCAATGGCCTCGATGGTTACACGCTCAAACGGAGAAGCAGCGCATTATTTGGGGTTACAAGATTTTGTTTTTGGACGTTCTTTTCCCACTCAATGTGACGAAAATCATTTTCGTTGACGCGGATCAGGTAAGCGGTCATTGATTATTGTCCTCGTGCGCTCTCCTGTTGCTTGGTGTACCTAAGGTTTCGTTATCATGCGATCCCGCCTTTCCCTCCCTAATAGCTTGTAAATTTACAGAAAGTCGTGTTGTGGTGGGTCAAAAGCAGGTACCACTGCTTCAGTAGTAGAGAAGTGTCATGAAAATCAAGCCGTAACGAGCAAACAGCGGACCATACGAACTCTCCGACAGAAGAAGTACGCTTGGGGTCATTAAGAATGCATACGGAATCAGTATGCACCACGCAACTAGTAACAATAAAAAAGACATTAGCAGTACGCCGGTACGCAGTACCGACGCTTCGCTGCCGCGCAACCACCACCTGTCGCACGTAGGCTAAGGATACTGCGAGGGTCGCCCTACCCTTAAACTGGCTCGAACCCGCACCGCAAGGTTACGAGACAAGCTCGTTACCTCTATGCTAGGGGCCGGCGGGGTCAAACAGTCATGCCGATTACCACTCTGTCCCTATATCGGCACCCACCACAATCTGACTGTCACATTTTCATTGGCCTGATGATCCTTTTGTGTCAAAAGCGAAACGTTGTCTATTACCATAAATACATTAACCGGTCGTCTACCAAGTTTTCTGAAATCATGACTTCCCGATCGATTCCAAATGTGTTCCAAGATATTAAAGCGATGAATTTTTGTTTTGTTTGTATGTATTTTTTTCTCAGTGAAGCCGTCACGCTTGCTTCTGGATCACTCGGTTAACTCCAAATTGTCACATGTGTCTACCTACTTCCGGTAAGCTTCGTCTTTCGAGAATATCCTCCCGGCTTTCGATACAGCGTCTGACTGTGTCAGCAGTAATGTTTCACTGGAACGACCTTCTCTTCCAGCACGTACCTTGCTTCTATCATGTTTACCAGGGTTCGAGGTATTCAGCTCCATCCAACTACCAATGCGCTCTGTAACTGCGGTTCCGCACTGAACCTGTTCCCCGCTTTCTGTTGAGTCCAATCTGACTTAGTCGGAGAGCGCATAAGAGCGATCCTCTTGACGACAGACATCTGCTTGTGGCATCATAGCGCTTACTATGAATCTGGAACTTAGCATATCCATATGATATTCTTAGGTGGCTAGGTTACCAGGTCATCAGACAGTTCATTGCGAACAACGCACATGAAGGCATTTGGATTATTCATTATACCAACTTTGCCAATTTCATCCTGATCAGTCTAACTGAAACAGCGCGGAGGGTATGCACGGGTAACGCGCCACCGGATGAGTTAAGTTTCATCTCGGGCGTTTCCAAACAGAGTAATACTACCAATAATATTACTAATATTATTAATAACAAGAATACATGATTATCCTGACAAGTTTACCCGTAGGCACTTGCGGCTTCGAGCGATGAATGTTCAGCTTGTTTCCACAGAAAATAGATTTATCCGTTCATCTCTTTGGAGTAACGCAACAGCGGAAGAGATCACACAAAGGCTCCCCAAGGCCATTGCGCGAGAACACCACTCAATCGGTTCGCTTGTTATCTTCATTTCAACACCATTTGTGAGCCCGCAATCGCGGTCAAGATTTTCCTTCAGTGTAGACTTCAAATAAAATAAAAATATATATATTCTTGATGTTACACGAAGCACACCAATGAACTTATGATCAGTTATGTAGAAACGACTATGCGACTATTACAATTTGATCGAAGATAAGTCTTGGCAACTAAGTTTGCAGATTCATAATTTCCAAGACATGAAATGTGTTTGTAATATCTCATCATCATCATCATCATACATGTTAGCCAGAGGTGGGGAACACCTCAACTACTGTGCCGCAATACATAGAAAAAAATGAGAAAAAAAGCAACTGGTGTAAGCCGGCTGAGCCACCGGTAACGGATGGGCATCGTTCCGGTAAGCTACCAGCCGGCTACTGTGCATCAAAAAATTTGCCATGCAAAATTATATAAGGCTAAATAATGAGATCGTGATTAGAGGGGGAGGCTAAGAGGGATGGGTTGGGACAAAGAAACTCACAGCACGAACGCCACTGAGGTCGGCTCCTATCCATGTCAGCAAGCGTGTCCAACCAAACGTGTTCATCGTCTTTCGGACCCCAACCAGGGAGCCAAGACGCTCCAACCGAGGCCAGCTCAGAAGTGAGGTCCTTCACTCCTCTCGACCAAGTCATCGCTTGGCCACCCCTCCTCTTCTTCCATCCACCTTCCCGGTGAGAAAACAGCGCATGTCGTGGAAGTCGATGGGCTGGCATGCGTAACACGTGGCCGAGCCATCGGAGCCTGATGCGTGAAATAACGGTGCTGAGCGGTTCAGTTCCTTTTCCTGTGCCATAAACAAGGCGTCGGACACGCTCGTTGCTCACGCAGTGTTCCCACCAGATGTGAGCTAAATTACGAAGGCACCGGTGGTCGAACGTAACTAGCCTCTTCAGGTCCGCTGCTTTAAGCGGCCAGGTTTCACAACCGTACAGTAGGATCGAACGTACTGCTGCATTGTACACTCGACCCTTCAGGGCACAAGAGTGATGTCGCGCCGGCGCCATAAGTGGCGAAGGTTAGCAAAAGCGCCCCGAGCTTTTGCTATACGATTCGTGATTTCATCTTCAATCCCACGGGCGCTGATACAACTTCCCAGGTAGTTGAATTTTTGAACGACTTCTATCTGATCCCCACCAAGGGTCAGCGTAGGAGGCGGTCCAGACCAATCTTGGAGAAACGCTTTGCACTTCGAGGGTGCGAAGCAAAGCCCGAAGTGACGGACAGCTAGGGCTGCTCTGTCCAGTGCCGCTTGGCACGTTGGTGAGCTGTCACAGATTAGGGCAATATCATCAGCATACTCTAAGTCAAGAAGTCGTTCTTCTGGGAGTAGCTCCACACCTTCTAAGTCGTGTCATGTGAACGCGATTTCCATGACTTCGTCAATAGCGGAGTTTAAGAGGAAAGGTGACAGCGGGCATCCTTGTCTCACACCGCTGGAGATAGTAAATGGCGAAAACTTGCCGTAAGCCCTCACTCTGCCCGAGCTACGCGCATATAATGCTCGGATAATATTCACCTATTTCTCAGGTACACCTTTCATGAGTAGACAGTCCCAAAGTGCAAGTCTATCCACCGAATCGAATGCACCTTTGATATCGAGAAACACGACAACTGTGGGCCACCAATATATGTGACGGTGCTCCAACAACTGACGCCAGGTGAAGAGGTGGTCAATGCAGCCATGACCTCGACGAAACCCGGCTTGCTCTTCATGAATCTGGCTTTCACGCTTGCCAGTCAGTTTGTGAAGGACGACAGAGGCAAGTAATTTGGAGGCGATGCAGATCAGACTGATTCCTCTATGACTGCCGCATTCCGATCGTGAGCCTCCCTTGGAAATTGGGACTATGACGGAGCGACTCCAATCGGTTGGGACAGTTTCCTGCTCCCACAGTGTAACTAGCAATTTGTGTAAAGTATCCACAAGAGCAGGTCCCGAGAATTTGAAGAGGGCTGGAGGAAGATCATCATGTCCCGCGGCTTTGTTCAACTTCAAAAGTCCGATCTCACGTTCGACTTCTTAGCGAGAGGGTGGATCCAAAGAGACTGCCCACGGAGCGGGGCGATCTGTGGCTGGCGAGAAATCTAACAATTCCGGCCGATTAAATTGCCTTTCAAATGCTCAGCCCAATGGTCCAAGCCTTTTGACAAGTTGTGGATAGGCTGTCCACTCTCTTCACAAATTGTTTCACTAACACCAGGTCTTCTGCTGTCCGATTCCCGTATCAGACGGAATAACTTACGATGGTTACCAAGGGCAGCGGCCATTTCCATTTCTGATGCACGATGAGACCACCAAGATTCGCGGTTTCTCTTCAGGCTAGCGCGGAGTTTTGCCCGGAGCTCTTTGCGAGTTTCATTGTGTTCGTTTCCCGCCCGAATATGCCGGCGAGCATCAATAAGTTCCAGAGACTGTGAAGAGACCCAATGTCCATGTTGGCGATTAGACATACCACATGAGGATTTGCCTGCTGCTAGTAAGGTCTGGTGCATATGAGACCAGTGACCTTCAATTGCATCTAGTGAGCGTTTATCCAACTCGCACGACAGCGTACTTTGATAGGCATTCAGAACAGCTGACTTCGCCAGTTGGCTGGTGTCAATTAGCTCACAACGTCGTCTTGGACGTCCGCCAGAAAGCATCCGCAGATCAGCACATACAAGTGCATGGTCGGTGTCCATACCTGTGCTCCAAATCGAGCGACAGTTCTGGATGCAGCCTCTCCAGCAGTAACTGATTGCAATGTGATCGATTTGCGTCCATAGCTGGTTCGAGGTTGGTGGGCGCCAAGTCAACCTCCGTCGGGTGCTGTGTCTGAAATTAGTGCTCGCAAGAAATAAGCGAGCATCCTTACACAAATGAAGTAACCGCTCACCGTTATCATTACGGGAGCCTATACCATGTTGGCCACCCAGATGCAGCTCATCTGTGGATAATTTTCCAACTTGAGCGTTCAGATCCCCAGCCAGCACTACAGTGTCCGAGCTTTTTCTGTGGCTATGGAGCTCGTTCAGTTGACGATAGAAGTCGTCTTTTACCGAGTCATCGCTACAGTTTGTCGGTGCATAGGCAGCTTAACGAATAGACACCTGTTAGTCCCACACGACTTCGAAGCTTTGAACGAGCCAGCCAATCGAACCGCACACATCCGGCTACTGATTGGAATCCAATCAACCAGAGTAGCTTCAGCCCGGGGACTCAGGACAATACCAACACCGGCTCGGCCGGTGCTCGAAGCTGCATCGTCACCGCATAGGCGCAAATAGAAAGTGCTGCTAGTGTCACCTGAAGGGGGTCGCAGAGTGAGCACAGAGCTCGAGTCTTGCAGGCGGGTCTCCGATAAGCAGCAGATATCGATCGAGTGGGTCTCTAATGTTCGGGCAAGTGCTGCGTTTTGACCGATCTGAAGCAATGTGCGAACATTGAGGCATGCCAGTCTGAAGGAGGATCG